TATAAATATTTTTGTACATGTGGGTCCTTTTCCTCTTTTTAAAAATCTCTTTGGACCTAGCTGTGTATTTCTGGGTCAAAGGATATGCGCAATTTAATAGCTCTGGGGATACAAAATGCTTTCCAGAATGGCTGGACCATTTCCCACTTCTGCCCATAGGGCATCAATATGCTCGTTCTTCCATGGCTTCTCTAGTATTTGTTGTTTTCTTTTTCTGCCAACTTTGCCAATTTGAGGAGTGTGAGGTAGAATTTCAGAGTTGTTTTAATTTGATTTCCCCTAATAATTAGTGATTTAGAGCATCTCTTTATACAGCTATTGATAGCTTGGATTTATTCTCTGGAAAACTGCCTGTTCATATCCTTTGACCATTTATACATTGATTATTTTTATTTATTTATTTTATTTTTAGTTAATTGGGGTTAAACGACTTGCCCAGGGTCACACAGTTAGTAAATGTCAAGTGTTTGGTGTAAGGCCATATTTGAACTCAGGTCCTCCTGACTCCAGGGCCAGTGCACCACCTAGCTGCCCCTCCTTTGACCACTTATCAAATGGGGAATGGCATTGTGTCTAAGAGATAAGTCATGCTCATCACAAGCCACATTCTCATGACTGCCCTTCTTTTCTCCATACTCCCCCAGGCCCCAGGGAAATCCACTTCCTCTCAGGAGCCTAGTTTAATATTTAATTGACCTTCAGTAGGGATTAGATGAGCAAAGATGCCCCATAACCCATGGGGCTCAAAGTTAAGTCCAAGGCTGGAAGGGCAGAGCTTTGTCAGGGAATATTTTCAAGCACCTTAGACCTTGAACTTTCAAAGTTATTTAAAGAATGAAAGTGAATTCATGAAAGATTGAAGGCTTCAAAGTTGCAGAGATGCAAGTGACCTTAAGAGATAGTCTGGTCCTTGTTCTGGGAAGGATTTCCAAAAGAACTAGAAAGAAAGAAAGAATGCTTACCACCTGAGTAAGGGTAAAGAATTTAGAGGGCTCTTAGAACAGAGAATGTCAGAGCTGGGAGGGCCCGTAGAACACAAGATGTCAGAGCTGGGAGGACCCTTAGAACACAGGATGTCAGAGCTGGGAGGGTCCTTAGAACACAGAGTGTCAGACCTGGGAAGGGCCCTTAGAACCTAAAATGTCAAAGATGGGAGGGGCCTTAGAACACAAGATGTCAGAGCTGGGAGGGGCCTTAGAACACAAGATGTCAGAACTGGGAGGGACACAGAATGTTAGGAGCTAGAGAAGATAACATGGTGCAGTGGTATGAGCACTAGATTTGGAATCATAGGGCCATGGCTTCCTAACTGCTTACTATCTACCTGGGTGACCCTGGGCAGTCATTTAACCTCTGTGGCCCTCGGTTTCCTCATGTATACAAACAGAACCTACAGAAGGGACCTTTGATCCTCTGGGGCTGTAAGTGAAGATGACCTCTGAGGCATCTCTGATTCAACAAGCATTTATTAAGTGCCTGTGGTATACATGACCCCTTCCTAGGTGCTAGGGACATAAAGACTAGAGCTCCTATCTTCAAGGAGCTTACTACTCACAGCTTTAGACTCTGTGAACCTGAAACACAGAATGCTAGAGAGAGAGAAGAGACATCAGGGCTTTCTGGTCCAATATCCTCATTTCCTAGTGGGAAGCAGGCTCTGAGAGGGAAAGTTTTGTGCCCAAGTCACACATAGGATTGGTGAGTAAGCCAGGAAGAGAACTGAGTTCTCCTGATCCTCAGGCCTGTGTTCTTTCTACTATCCTACATCGCCCCTTGGAGATCACAGAATTACATAATCTAGGAGCTGGACAGGACCCTAGAAGCCAATACCTGAGGTCAACCAATACCTGAGTAATAATCCCTTCTAAAAATAGATAAAAGTCATAATAGTTTATAGTAAACAGAATACTTTGCATATATTATGATCTCATTTGATCCTCACAACAATCCTATGAGGTGGGTGCTGTTATTATCTCCATTTTACAGATGAGGAAACTGAGGCAAACAGGGTTGAGTGACTTGTTCAGGGTCACACAGCTGATACGCATCTGAGGCAGGATTTGAACTCAGGCCCAGTGGATCTACCCACCACACCCTCTAGCTGCCTAGGATGGCCCTGGGAATCCTCCCAAATATCTTTTATTCTCATCAATAGCTTTTGTTTTTATATCACTCACATTTTCTAATGTAACCCTTCCCCTAAATCTCATTTCTTTTTCAAAGCAGAAACATTTAGTAAACGGAAAAATAAGACAAAGAAGTAATAGACTCCTTCCCCCTGCCCAATACTTACGAATACACACACCATCAATGCCTGTATACAAAAATATGCATGAATACATACATATGTATATGCACATGTGCGTATGTGTGTATACACAGACATACATGTGCACGAATATGCAGGGAAATATGCACGTACATATGCAAAAATACATATACCATCAGTGCACACAGAGAAGAAATGTGTGGAGGGGCAAACATGTAGGGAACAAAGAGGCAGTTAGGTGTCACAGTAGATGGAGTGCTGGTCCTGGAGTCTGGAAAGATCTGAGTTCAAATCTGGCCTAGACATTAGCTGTATGACCCTGGGCAAGTCACTTAACCTCTAGAGGCCTGTCTCAGTTTCCCCAAAATGGGAATAATAATAGCACCTATCTCCTCGTCTGTTGTGAAGATCAAATGCGATGATATGTGTAAAGTGCCTGGCACAAAGTAGGTACTTAATAATAAATGCTTATCCCTTTTCTTCCCTCTCCCTTGACTATCTCTTACTTAGGGGAAAGATTGGATTTAGCAATACTTTTAGTTAAAATTCCAGAGGCTTTTGTTAAATGTATCTTTTAGATAAGCAGATCAGCCAGAAGGAAAACAAATCCCAGCTTTCCCCCTCCTTCTCCCTTTTACACAAGTTGCCCATCCCTTCCTTTCCACAGGGACTTGTCTAGATGGCATTTCATCTCTGGCAGGAAGTTCTGGAACCCAGGTGCCAGACTCCTTGGGACCCAGAGCTGGGCTCTCCTAGCTAGTTAATGTGGTCCAAATTTATCCTCAGTGACAGCCGGGGGCCAAAACAGAATGGAAAGAAGTCCAGATTCTGCTCTGGGGAGCCATATGGGCTCCCCAAACACGGAAGGAATGTCTCACAAGGGAAGTTTCTGTGGTTCTGAGCTAACACTAGATACACACCTGCTGTTAGAAATTCAGCAAAGCTCCTTGGTCATGAAGCTCACCCTCTCAACAAAGCAGGGAGTTTCTCCTGGCCAGTTCAACCCTACCCTTCTTCCTGGTTATATTCCTAAAAGTGCCCAGGGAAATTTCATGGAACAGGTTCTGCAGGGTATTGTTTTCAATGGGAGGAGGAAGGGGGCCACGGTTCATTGCCAGAGCTTTTAAAAAGCACAGATAAGGAAGCAGGAGCCTGGGCCCCCTAAAAGGGGGATCAGGATGGTTTTAGGGCAGCCCAGAATTCTGCTGACAGGCCTGCCACTGCCTTCCTGGCCTGCAGCTTCCTCACCTATAAATGAGGGAGGTGAATAGGGACCAAAGCCCCTTCTAGACATGACATTCTATGCTCAAACAACATTTCCAGCTCCAACATTCTGCATTCTAAGAGCTCTCTCAGCTCTGTCATTCTGTGTTCTAAGGGTCCTCTCAGCTCCAACATTCTGGGTTCAAAGGGCCCTCCCAACTTTGACTTTCTATGTTCTAAGGGCCCTTCCAGCTCTGATATTCTGTTCTAAATACTCTACTAGCTTTGACATTTTGTGTTCTAAGGCCCCTCCCAGCTCTGACATTCTATGTTCTAAGAATCCTCCTAGTTCTGACATTCTATGTTCAAAAAATGTTTCCAACTCCAACATTCCTTGTTCTAAGGGCCCTCCCAGTTCTGTCATTCTATGTTTTAAGGGCCTTCCCACCTCTGACATTCTGTGCTCTAAGGTCCCTCCCAACTCTGACATTCTGTATTCTAAAGACCATTCCAGCTCTGACATTCTGTTCTAAATACTCTATTAGTTTTGACATTCTGTGTTCTAAGGGTCCTTCCTCGCCTTGATATCCTACGTTCTAAAGTCCTTTCTAGTTCTGAGGTCCCTGTAACATTCTATATTTTAATCAGATCCTTTCCAACTAGGACATCTTATGTTCTAAGGCCTCTTCCAGCTCTGACTTTCTATATTCTAAGGTCCCTTTCAGCTGTGGCATTCTGTGACCCTTCCTGTCGCTGATTTGTGTCAAATGATTACCTTACCAAAATATGTTTCCTAACCTGCAGTTAGCAATCTCAGGCTACTGAATCCCTAACTCCTCATTATCACAGGGCCATCAGATTAACCTGGAACACCTCACAGATGTTATCAGAATTTATATTGATATTATCTAGATATGAGAGAATGATCACTCACACTTGGAGACACACATAGGACACTTAGTTATTCTTGTAGATGAAGCTTCTGGGCCTGAAGTTCATTTAACGTGTCCTACTTCCTCTTTGTGATGCCTGCATACACGTGCTGGGAGAACATGTGGCTACATGGAGGGGGAAGGGCTGGAGTCGATCTAAGAGGGGCCATTGTCTATAATAGAGGCTGCTACAGTAGAGCTACAGTAGAGCTGACCCCTTGCAGTTGAGAGATCTGAGTACCAATCATGGCCTGGACACAAACTCTATCCTAGGATCTGGGATTTCTTCAGGATTTTTGTTTTTGTTTTATTTTGTATCACCAATGGCCACCACAGTAGCCGACATATAGGCTCACCAATCCAGCACTAGAAGGTGCCTTAGCAACCATAACCTCCAACCTCTTAATTTTACAGATGAGGAAACTGGGGGCTCCCTTCTACACAAAGAAGTCTGTCTCACTATTAAAGACTGGAAGTTATGAGTAAGCCCAAACCTCTAATTCTAAATCTATGATTTTATGAGTATTGGCCCTAGAACTAAGAGGGTGCCCCCCCCGCCCCATTTTTTAAAAATAAGACTTAGGAAATAAACTTACCATTCCTGAGGGAGAAGGTCAGAAGATCCTAGGAAACAAAAGGAAATTAGGGATTTATATAGAATCAATGATTAAAATCCTATTATGATTCAAGCTGTTACTTGGAGGAGACTTTAGAACACAGACCACTAGCCCTTGAAGGAACTTTAGAGGTCACCTAGTCCAACTTTTTCATTTAACAGATGGGGAAACTGAGGCACAGAGAAGGGAAGGGTGTGTCCAAGTTCACTGCCATCTCATTGGGCAAACATCGCCTCTTACCCTCTTTTACATTGTCTCAATGTCTTTGAGTGCCTGTCTATTTCACAGATAAGGAGAAAGCTCAAAGAGTTTGGATAACTTACTCAGAGGTATTCAATATACTGCCAAAGATCCATGTTCCTCAAGTGTAGCCCAGTCCTGAAGTAGTTCCTTCAGGAAGAGGAGTGAGTACAGGATAAAAATGATAAAGCATAGAATATCAGAGCTGGGAGCAGCCTTAGAATGCAGAACATCAGAGCAGGGAGGGCATTTAGAACACAGAATGTCAGAGCTGAGAGAGCCCTTAGAACACAGAATGTCAGAGCTGGGAGGGCCCTTAGAACACAGGATGTCAGAGCTGGGAGGGTCCTTAGAACACAGGATGTCAGAGCTGGGAGGGCCCTTAGAGCACAGGATGTCAGAGCTGGGAGGGCCCTCAGAACACAGGATGTCAGAGCTGGGAGGGCCCTCAGAACACAGGATGTCAGAGCTGGGAGGGCCCTTAGAGCACAGGATGTCAGAGCTGGGAGGGCCCTTAGAACACAGAATGGCAGAGCTGAGAGGGCCCTTAGGGCACAGAATGTCAGAGCTGAATGTACTAGAGGTACATTTTATAGATGCTGGAGTCTGTTGCACTCCTAGTCCTGCAAAACCATTTCCAGGCTGGCTGTAAAAAAAGATTTCATTTTCTATTTCATTCATCCCTGACCAGGGGTCTGGGTACCTGCGTAATCACCAGCGGATCATTCTTCAAGACTGGATCCTTCAATAAAATTTCTGCAAATGTGGCCTCCTCTTCTCCTCCCAGGCCATCAGCAAAGGCCACCATGGAGGGGAGGACTGTTTCTGGTAACTCCAGCCATTTCACTAGGGTTTCCACAAATTGCATCCTAAAGGAGCTGAAAGACAAAATTATTTCAGACACAAAGACTTCTGCTTTCCTCTCTCCTAATTCTAGCTCCTGATTATCCAACATTGGGAAGAACTGGGATAAATGAAATCCACAGGCAATTTCAAAATCTCATTTTAGTAAAACTTTTACTAAGTGGCTAATAAATCACAAACTTAATTATGATAATCCAACAACAACAATAATAGCTACATTTATATAGCTTTTTAGAGTTTGCAAAGCGCTTTATAAATAGTATCTCATTTGATCCTTACAATATCCCTGAGAGGCAGATGCTAATATTACCCTTATTTTACAGATGAGGAAACTGAATCAGACAGTGGTAAAGTGATTTGCTCAGGATCATACATCTAGGAAATGTCTGAGGCTGGATTTGAACTCAGGCCTCCCTGATTCCAGGTCTGCTGTGCCACCTAGATGCTCAAAGCACTAACTTTGTGAGTCACAAGTGTTAAGTTTAAGTCCTGGCTCTACCCTGAACTTACTGGGTGATCCTGGACAAGTCACTTTCCTTCTCTATGCCTCAGTTTCCATTTCTATAAAATTAATAATAACTCTCATTTTCCATAGAGCTTTAAAGTTTTAGAAAGTGTTTTCCTTGCAACATCCCTGTATAGTAGGTAGTGAAAAGATTCTTACTCCCATTCCACAGATGAAGAAACTGAGGCAGAGAGGTCACATAACTTGCACAGTCATATAGAACCACAGAATCTAAGAGCTATAAAAGACCTCAGAAGTTACCCAATCCAATTTACATTCAACCAAGAATTCTCTCTTTAACATCCCTGACATGTGGTCACCCGGAATCCACCCAAATATCTCCAGTGTGAACCACCTCCTGAAGTAACCCACTCTACTCCTGGACAGCTCCATCTGTCAGGAAATATCTTACACAGCATTGAGGCCAAATTGACCTCTGCTTCTCCCACCCACCCCTCCAAGGCCTCCCATACATGACAGTCTTGTCTTCTCTAGGCTTGCTGTTCCAACTAAACTTTGAATGCTATGGTCTCCAGGCATCTCCTGGTCACCTCCCTCCAGGACACAGCCCAACCCACCTATGTTCTTCCAAAAATATGCCACTCAGACCTGTTTCAGGAAACTTAAGCCACTTCACTAGACCTTCCACAAATTTACGGTTTATGATTATATGTCGGATTCCATCCTGAACACCCTGAACATGCAAGTTACATACAATTTGTAGCCAAAAATTATTTTTTATTTTTCCATAATTCAGTTATCATGCATGAATTCAGTAGGGGCAACTAGATGGTACAGTGTATAGACTGCTAGGCTTAGATTCAGAAAGACTCATTTTCCTGAGTTCAAATCTGGCCTCAGATATTTCCTAGCTGTGTGACTCTGGCAAGTCACGTAACCATTTGCCTCAGTTTCCTCATCTGTAAAATGGGCTGGAGAAGGAAATGGCAAACCATTCTAGTATCTTTGCCAAGAAAACCCTAAATGGGGTCACGAAGAGGGAGACACAACTGAAAATGACTGAACAACAGCATGAATTAGTAGGCCACAAGGGCCTAAGCTCTAGTCCAGTGCTGCCATTGGAACTGACCCAGGTATCAGACTAGAAGGCTCACTTCTATCTGTTGTCATATTCAAAGCTCAACGTCATTAATCATATAATTAAATTCAGGTAATCCACACTTTTGTTCAGTTTTTCAGTTGTGTCCCACTCTCTATGACCATGGCACACCAATACTTTTCATAGATTTTCTTTACAAAGATACTGGAGTGGTTTGTTATTTCCTTCTCCAGTGGATTAAGGCAAAAAGAGATTAAGTGACTTGCCCAGGGTCACACAGCTAGTAAGTGTCTGAGGATGGATTTGAATTCAGGTGTACCTGACTCCAGGCCTGTCACTCTATCCACAGAGCAATCTAGCTGCCTCAGTCTACATGTAGGGACTTCCAATTTTTCACTAGTGGAAAAACTTAGATACTCCCAGACTAGTGAATTTCTAAGGTTGCTTCCAGTTCTGAGAGTCTAAATCCTAAAAGCCAACAAGAGGATTAGCAACCATTGGGCCTTGTTCCCTGGACAAATTTGGAGAGGCAAAAACCCAGGATGGTGGTACGGATGAAGGGTGGTGGGAAAAGAAGGGTGACTCCAAAATGATATCTGATCCCTTCCTAGATGTTTCATTCCTTACTAAGGAGACAAAGTGTCCTTGCTAGGACTGTCTATCTAAACAATTGTGCCCTGCAAAATATTTCATTGACAAAGCCCCAAAACTATTCTAAAAAAAAAAATCAGTCAATATGCATCTTGGCAAGAAAAGAGGGTAATTAGATATGATGACAGACCTGCTGAGAGAGAGTCTTCATGTGGGAAAGAGAGAGCCTAATGAAACACGATGTTCCCTATATTGGGAAATCCTTTCTAATCCCTGGCCTGAGGACATTGCAGAGATGACACATGCATTGAACAAGGAAATTGGACTCGATCTCTGACATTCTGTGTTCCAAGGGCCGTCCCAGCTTTGACATTCTCTGTTCTAAGGTGCCTTCTAGCTCTGACATTCTCTGTTCTAAGGTCCCTTCTAGCTCTGACATTCTACATTCCAAGGTCCTCCCCAGATTTCAAAATCTCGTATTCCATGATTCTAAGTCAAAATAGCCACCTCTGTTCTGGTTCTGGAAACAGCCACGCCAGGGACATCCCGCAGAGAGCGGCATAGGCAAAACGGCTTGCTTCTTCCAGGTCCTTGCCTGTGGACAGATGTGGCTCTGCTTCTCTGGCCGGCTCGGGATGCCTCCCAGCCCTTTGGCCCTGCCCCTCTGGGGTTGCCATCTTTGAACCTGCCATAAAAGAAACCCAATGCAGCACATGTTACCAAGAAGCACAGGAAAATTCTTTGTATCAAGATTCCTTGAAATGAACAGAGCCTGGAACAGAGGGCCTGGGTTCCTGTTCTGACTACATGGCCTTTGCTCAGAGATATGTAGATAAAAAAGAAACAAAATATGTGAAAAGGATCTGAGTCCTTGGAGGATGGGAACCACATATGTACCATATATATACATATATATACACATATATATACACATATATATACATATACACATATATACATACATACATATGTGTGTGTGTGTGTGTGTGTATACACATATATATATATATATATATATATATATATTCACTTCAACAAACATGTGTCAAGTGAGAGACAGCAAGAGGTAGTAGGTAAAGGGCCAGCCTTGGAATCAAGAAGACCTGGGTTCAACTCTTACCCTCGACACATACTAGCTGGGGATTACAGGCAAGGGATTACAGTTTTAAAGCTGTAAGAGACCTTAGAAATTACCTAGTTCAACTTTGCTCATTTTCTCAGTAAAGAAATTGAAGCCTGGGTGACGACTGGCCCCAAATCAAATAGATGATAAGTAGCAAAAGTGGAATTTGAAAACAAGTTCTCAGACTTCAAACCCAGCAGTATTTCTGCACTGCCTCCCCTAAGAGGTCATTTAACCTCTTAGCATCCTATTGTTTTTTTTTTCTTTCTGGTGAGGCAATCAGGGTTAAGTGACCTGCCCAGCGTCCCAGAGCTAGTAAGTGTCAAGTGTCTGAGATTGGATTTGAACTCAGGTCCTCCTGACTCTAGGGCCAGTGCTCTATCCACTGCACCACCTAGCCGCCCCCAACTTCTTAGCTTCCTAAGCAACTCTCTAAGACCAGAAGTAAAAAAGATGTTAGCAAATTCTCATTAGTAGAGGAAACTTCTATCCTGAGAGTTCCCTTAAAATGCTGAAATCACAAGTACGGACTCAGAAAAAGCATAAGGTGGCTTTTCTCACCTGTCCTCATTTTGTTATGTATCTTGACAGTCAAAAGAAAACATTTGTTTGCCCTGGAAAATAATAAGCCGTAGGACAATTCTAATCTTCAGAGAGACAAAAATTATTTATAATACTTGAAAATCTGCAGGCCTGTTTCAATTATGTTGAACCTGTTTTACAGACCTAAATGTTTCCAGATTGTGTGTGAAAGTGAATTTTTCCATGTTGTGTATGTTCACCAGCAGCATTTACCACAGAATAAAGAAGCCTCCACAGGGGAAAAAAAAAGAAAAATTTTAAGCAAAGACCATAAGGCACTGGGCTTATAAAAATGACCAAAAAATGACGGTCCCTTACCTCAGAGCTTGTATTCTACTTATTCTCTCCTAATAAATAGTTCCTATTTCTATAGCCCTTTAAGGTTTATAAAACACTCTCCTCATGACAATTTCATGAGGTGGGACTTGTAGTCAGAGGTCTTAGGTTCAAATTCCAGCTCTGCTACTATCCATGTGGCCTTGGGTAAGTCATTTAGCTTCTCCGGGCCCTTGGTTTCTTAATAACAATAGTAAGCATTTATGTGACGTTCCTGGTTTGCAAAGTGCTTTACAAATGTTATCTCATTTTATTTTGTACAACAACCCTGGGAGGTAGGTGCTATTACTGTCCACATTTTACAGATGAGAAAACTGAGGCAGAGAATGGTTAATTTACCCAGGATCACATATTTAAGCAAGGGTCTATGGCTGGATTTGAATTCAGATCTTCCTGACTCCACGTCCAGCACTCTATCCGGTGAGCTGCCTACCTGTCTGATACCATCTGTAAAATGAAGAGATTGGCCTGGATGAACTTGAAGGTCCTTTCAGCTCTAGAACTATGACTCCCCTTTTGCATGGGAAGAAATAGACTCAGAATTGTTAAATGAGCTGTCCAAGGTTACAGAAGCCAGGAGGGAGTGGGGAGACACTAAGGCTAAGGCAGCATTCTCTTCACCCTCTCATGCTTGTACACTTTGCCCAAATTAACCTATTTATCTTGCATTTATTCACCGCATGTAGATTTTGAATTGACTTAGATTATACTCTGTTGTCTCCCTCATTATAACAGCAGATCACTGACAGCAGGGATTGTTCCATTCTTTATATTTGGTCTAGCACCTAGCGCAACGCCCAGCACATAACAGGTGCTTAAGACACACTTGTTGACTGATTGAAACCATTCCCTTCTCCGAGGGAAGCAGTCGGGCACAAAGCTTGAAAGGAAAATCAGGGCATGACTGTGCAGGGCCTTGACTGCCAAGTGGAGAAGTCTGCATAGGAGTCTGCAAACAGGTCCTGGACTTCACTGATAGAGCTCAAATGAATCTGTCAACACGGATGGAGCACACACTCTGTGCACAGTGCACCCACCAGGTACTGGAGTTGCCTTACTTTTAGGCTTCTACTATGTAATAAGCTTCTCTCTTCATTTCTCTGGACCTCAGTTTTTTCATCTGAAAAATGAGGTTAGATTAGAGGGTCTCCAAGATCCTTCCCAGCTCTGACATTTATGTTCTAAGGGCCCTCCCAGCTCTGACATCCTGTGTTCTAAAGGCCCTCCCAGCTCTGACATCCTGTGCTCTAAGGGCCCTCTCAGCCCTGACATACTGTGTTCTAAGAGCCCTCCCAGCTCTGACACCCTGTGTTCTAAGGGCCCTCTCAGCTCTGACATTCTGTGTTCTTAAGTCCCTTCCAATCCTTCCAACCCTAATACCCTATGGTTCTGTAGGAACAGCATTCGCAAGATTGCAGAAGCCTTTTCAACCTGGGTTCCAAGGATGAGTCCAAAAAGTAGCCTGATTTCTACCTCCTTCCGTGATTAGGCATTCATTCAATGAACCATGTGTTTTACACTCAGGACTGAGATTCTAAGGATTGTGATTTACAGTGAGAAAAGTAAAAAAAAAAATTAAATCCCAGAGGATCTGCATTCTTCTCACTAGCATCTTCAAAGAGCCCTGAATCCCATTTCAGAATCTCATCATTGGGTCTCCAGCTTAACAAATTGAGCTAGAAATTCAAATGCAGCCAGTTATTTCTGGCATCCTACTGTGTTTCCATGGTAACAGCTTAACTGATAAACCCAAAGGTCTTCAGATAATTGAGTTACTGAACTGGAGCAAAAACAAAAATAATTCCATCCCCATTTTAAACATGGCAGCCCTATGAAGATTTAAGGTAACAGCCAGTCTCTTTTGGAAGGCCCGAGATGGGCTATGTAAACTTTGCACTCCCCTTCATTCCTCCCTCTGTCCCCTCAAAAGTCCAGTATAAATGTTGGAAGGGTTCATCCTGGGTCTGCCCCAGACTGGTGCAATTACAGGAGAGGGTTGGATCTGAAGGAAATAAGATGTGGCTCATCTCACCCCAGATTGATTGGAGAACATGAGAGTTGTCTTCAAAGATTTGAAAGGCTATGTATGAATGATTAGACTACTTCAGTAAGGGTAGGATCTGGAGCAGAGAGGTCTATTTTAGGTCAATGAAAGGAAAATGTTACCAGTCATTAGAGTCCTCCATTTCTCAGCTGAATCCATTAAAAAACAACAATTACCTCTCTCACTGTCTCTTCCTCTCCTCTCATTTCGCAACTGCTTTGTAATCTGGTGTACGGTTTCATTACTCAACTGAAACGGCCCTCTCCAAAGTTACCAGGGACCTCTTTATTGCCAAATCTAATGGCCTTTCTCATTCTTCTTGACCTCTCTAGAACATATGACACTGTTGACCACCCTCCCCTGCCAGATATGCTCTATTCTCTGGGCTTCTGTAATACTGCTCTTTTGTGGGGCTCTCCTCCTATTGGACTGATTGCTCCCTCTCAGTCCCCTTTGCTGCGTGATCTTCTCCATCTTATCCCCTTAAGTGGGTGTTCCCCAAGGTTCTCTCCTTGGCCCCCTCTCTCTACTGTCTTTTCATTAGTGATTTCATCAGCTCCCATGGATTCAGAGCTATCACTCTTCATTACAGTTGAACTAGCCCATTTGACACTCAACATTTCATTTCCCCAAGAGTATTCCTCCATGCCCTTTAGAGGCTGTCTGTCATGCCTGGAATGCCCTCTTTCTTTAATGCACCCTTGCCTCTTAGAATCTGTTCCTTCTTTCAAGGAAGCATCACTTCCTACATGAAGCCTTTTTTGACTCCCTTCAGCTACTGGTACCCAACCCTCTGACAGAAGTAATTACTTTGAATCTACTTATTTGTATTTTGTGTTTACTTGTTTATATGTTTGTTGTTTTCCTGATAGGATGTAAGTCCTTACTGGCAGGATATGCCTTGTTTTTGCCTCTGTATCCCCAGAGTATGGGCAGCTAGGTGGTGCAGTGGATAGAGCGCCAGGCTTGAAGTCAGTAATATTCATCTCCCTGAGTTCAAATCCAGCTTCAGATTCTTACTAGCTGGGTAATGCTGGGCAAGTCACTTAACCTGTTTGCCTCACCACTCCAGTATCTTTGCCAAGAAAACCCCAAATGGGGTCATGGAGAACCAGACACGACTGAACAAATCCTCAGAACAGTGTCTAGCACATCACAGGTGCTTAATAAATGCTTGAGTGATCAACTGATTGATTCAGGAACGGGAGAGGCTAGATGATTTCTGAGGTCCTTTCCAACTTTGAGAATGTGGGATCCTTTGCAGTTAGATCGCTCCCTCAAGCATCTATGCCTGGAGCGTCTCATTTCCGTCTTGTGACTTCCCTGGATTCCTTCAAGTTTCAGTTAAAAAGGTTCTGCAAGAGCCTTTCCCAGTCCTCCTTAAACCCCCAATTCATCCTGTACATGTCTTATTTGCACAATGTGTTTTTTTTTGTTTTTGGCTAGGCAATGGGGTTAAGTGACTTGCCCAGGGTCACACAGCTAGTAAGTGTTATGTGTCTGAGGCCGGATTTTAACTCAGGTCCTCCTGAATCCCGGCCCGGTGCTCTATCTACTGCGCCACCTAGCTGCCCCTGTACGATGGTTTTTGCATGTTGTCTCCCTCATTAGATTGTGAGCTCCTTGCGGGCAGGGACTGTCTTTTGCCTTTCTTTGTATCCCCAGTGCTTAGCACAGTGCCTGGCACATAGCAGTGCTTAATAAATGCTAGTTGACACTAGCTATCCAGCACACCTGGAAGTGTGCTAACAGAGTAAAACAACCCTGCAGTTTAGAACTAGCCCACAGGATATAAAATAAACCCACATAAATCATTGGCATTTCTATATATTACCAACAAAGCTCAGCAGCAAGAGATAGAGAAATTCCATTTAAAGTAACTGTAGACAGTATAAAATATTTGGGAGTCTACTTGCCAAGACAAGCCCAGGAACTATGTGAGCACAATTACAAAAACTTTTCACACAAATAAAGTCAGATCTAAATAACTGGAAAAATATCAATTGCTCATGGGTAAGCTGAGCTAATATAATATAATGACAATTCTACCTAAATTAATTTACTTATTCAGTGCCATACCAATCAAACTACCAAAAATTATTTTATAGAACTAGAAAAAATAATAATGAAATGCATCTGGAAGAACAAAAGTTCAAGAATATCAAGGGAATTGATGAAAAGAAATGCAAAGGAAGGTGGTTGAGCTGTATCAGATCTAAAACTGTATTATAAGGCAGCAATCATCAAAACTACTTGGTATTGGCTAAGAAATAGAGTGGTGGATCAGTGGAATAGGTTGGTATACAAGATACAGTAGTCAATGACTATAGTAACCTGTTTGATAACCCCAAAGACTCCAACTTCTAGGATAAGAACTCACTATTTGACAAAAACTGCTGGAAAACTGGAAAATAGTATGGCAGAAACTAGGCGCAGACCAACATCTTACACCATATACTAAGATAAGGTCAAAATGGGTACCCAATTTAGACATAAAGAGTGATACCATAAGCAAATTAGGAGAGCAAGGAATAGTTTACTTGTCAGATCTATGGAGAAGGGAAGAATTTATGACCAAATAGGAGATAGAGAACATTATGAAATGAAAATGGATAATTTTAATTATATTAAATTAAGAAGTTTTTGCACAAACAAAGCCAATGCAACCAAGATTAGAAGGGAAGCAGAAAGCTGGGGAACAATTTTTACAACCAGTGTTTCTGATAAAGGCCTCATTTCTAAAATACATAGAGAACTGAGTCAAATTTATAAGAATACTAGTCATTCCTCAATTGATAAATGGTCAAAGGATACGAGTAGATAGTTTTCAGATGAAGAAATTAAAGCTACCTATATTCATGCAAAAAAAAAATGCTCTACATCACTACTGACCAGAGAAATGCATATCAAAATAACTCTAAGGTACCACCTTACACCTATCAGATTGGCTAACATGACAAAACAGGAAAATGATAAACGATGGAGAAGATGTGGGAAAACTGGAATTATTCTATGCATTATTGGTGGAGTTGTGAACTGATCCATTCTGGACAGCAATTTGGAACTATGCCCAAAGGGCTATAAAACTGTGCATACCCTCTTTGATCCAGCAATACACACAAAGAGATCATGAAAAAGGGAAAAGGACCCACATATGCAAAAATATTTATAGCAGCTCTTTTTGAGGTGGCAAAGAATTAGAAATTGAGGAGATGCCCATCAATTGAGGAATGGCTGAACAAGCTTTGGCATATAAATGTAATGGAGTACTATTGTTCCATAAGAAATGATGATGAGGAGGAGGATTTCAGAAAAACCTGGAAAGCCTTATATGAACAGATGCTCTGAGTGAAGTGGGCAGAACCAGAAGAACACTGTACACAGTAACAGCAACATTGTGCAGTGATCAATTATGACCGACTTAGGTCTTCTTAACAATACAGTGATCCAGGATAATTCCAAAAGACTCATGATAGATGTTATCCACATCCAGAGAAAGAACTATGAAGTCTGAATGCAGATTGATGTATACTATTTTCTCTCTCTCTCTCTCTCTCTTTTTTTTTCTCATGGTTTTCCCCTTTTGTTCTGATTCTTTTTTTACAACATGACTAATACAGAGATATGTTTAATATGATTATACATGTATAGCCTACATCAGATTGCTTGCTGTCTTGGGGAAGGGAGAGGGGAAGGAGGGGGAGAAAATTTAGAACTCAAAATCTTATAGAAGTGAATGTTGAAAACTAAAAATAAATAAACAAATGAATGTATTAATTAAAAAAAAATAACTGGCCCATAGGCCTGGAGCCCAAAATGCAAATGGCTGAGTAGCAACATGAGTCATGAGTACAAAAATTTGGCCTGGACTGGACAACCACTGAGCTCCCACCAAATCCAGCATCTAATGATCCTGGCTTCATCTTCTCCCTCACAATTCTCTTCCACTTCTCACCCTTGTTATTTCATACTTACCCAGACATTATCCCGCTTGATCATTCATTTCTCTTTTCCTAGGCACAGTGCAGCAGGATGTACCATCTCCATTTCATTCTTAGAGAAGAATTGGACCATGGGGCTTACAGAAGGTGGAAGGACCATAGAGCAAGATCTGGAAAAGGCTTCAGAGGTCACTAACTCCAACCCTTTCATTTTACAGATGAGGAAACTGAGGCTTAGGGACCTGCCCTATCTAAAGTGCTGGGCAATCATCATAAGAGTAAAGATTTGAACCCAGGTCCTCCACCTTTAGAACCACTACTACTTTCTGCTATAATCTGTTGCCTCCAACAAGAGGGCTCCCCTTCTACCTCTGGCAAAAATCACTGTGGCTAATACAAAAGGATTTCATCCAATTAAAAAGCAATAAATCACATTTTTCATGTTTATTATTATTTATTATATTTAAGTTTATTAACTCCTTTCCTCAATAATAACCCTATGGAAATTGAAAGTGCAAGTTATTATTTCCCCATTTTATAGATAAGGAAACTGAAGGTCAGAGAGATTAGGGGATTAATTCAGGGCAATGTGTGTCAAAGCCAAGACCAGAAGTATATTTTCTGACTCTTCCTAAGTCCAATTCTCTTCCCACTATAGTACACTTCCCCTTTAAAACACCACAGAAAGCCTCCCTCTATCTTCAATACAGCCAAGTGAAATACTGCAGAGCCAATTAAGAATGAGGATGGAGGAAAGGCCAATGGATTCAGTAATTAAGAGACTGTTAGTAACACTAGAGAGTAGTTTCAGACAGGGTATGTGGTCAGAAGCCAGACTGCAAAGGGCTGAGAACTGAATCAGAGGAGGGGAAAAGGAAACAAATTAGCTGGAGGGTTTTTCCTAGGATCCTGATAAAAGGGAGGGGAGGTATAAGCCAGTAGAAAGAATGCCTTTCAAGGTCAAGTGAAGGGTGTTGTTTTGTTTTTTTAAGGATGGAGGAGATTAGAGTATGTTTGTAGGAAGGCAGAAAAGAAGCCAGTAGATTGGAATGGAAAGTGATGGTGGTGATGGTGGTGGTGGTGGTAAGGATGATGGAATGAGCAAACTTGAGAAGGGGACAGGAGAGGATAGGATCAAGGGCATTAGAAGGCTTATCCTTTATGAGGAAAAGGGTTCTCTCTTCATCAGAGACTGAGCAAATGAGAAGAGTATCCGGGATGCTGTTGGGGTTTATCGAGGTTATAGAACAGAGGGAGGAGAGGTAGCTCAGGCCAGATAGTCTTTATTTGCTCAGTAAAGTTTGAGACGAGACTCTCTGTTGAGAATTAGAGGTAGAGTTGTATAGATGGTTATCACCCAAACATCTCCCCTATCTGTCAATGCTTGAGCTTTATTCTTTTGGCTTAACCCTTGGTCCCCATTAAAACGTGACTCAATGGGAAGGGCTTTTTTTTTTTAATGAATTTTTAAAAAATGAAATCCTATAATCGCATCTTTTTCTGATGCTTCACCATGGTAGGTCCTATGATACCGGAAAGGATTTAAAGTAGGAAGCTAATGATATAATGTCTGCTACCCAAGGACCAGCTTAGCTAAGGTTAAGGAGGCTCATCACATGGGGGGGAGGGAGAGACAATTTTTTGTCGATGGCAACTCTCAAAAGCCACCTATCAAGTGTGGGGGGAGGCTGCTCTCTGCATGGGTAGAGGGTCTTCCTCCTCCTGACAAAGATCCTTGAAGTACTGAAGAAAAAGCAAATGAATTTGTCAGGTCCTTTACTGAGAAGAGATCTGACAGTATTGAAAGTATTGAAAGGAAGAAAGGGAGCTGAAGATGACCTGGGGTAGCTGAGGGGGCACCATAAGTGGGGGAAGGGTAGGTTGGAGGTATGAAAAATGAACTTTACTCACTCTCTAGTTTTGACGTGGGTCCACTCTGCTCTCACCCCATGGGCAGGGAATGCACAAATACGACAGTAAGAAGAGAGAAAAGTCAGGAGTCTACCCAAGGGTAACCTGGTGACCTGGGGCTCAGTCCCACCTAATCACTAGGCTATGACCTGAGCTCTCTGCCTTGCCCCTCCTTCCCCAACTTAGACTCCCAAGCTTGGGAGTATTTAGAAATATTTCCAATTTAACAACTGAAGTCTCTAAATTATTCCTTACCAATATTTTTATTTTTAAAGCTTCCCTCTCCACCAAGTTTAGTCAATGACCTTTGCAAATCTGGATGGCCCAATTACCAGTCCAGCCTTAGCCTTTTTTTTTTTAATGTAAAGAGGCAGATGGGTAGCACAGTGGGTAGAGCACTTTCTCTGAAGTCAGAAAGACCTGGGATCTCAGACCTTATTAGTTATGTGACCCTGGGCAAGCCATTTAATCTATGTCTGCCTCAGTTTCCTAATATAGCAGTTACCTGTTTGATGAACAGTCTGTGTCAATCCTATTTTAAAGGACATTTCTCAGATTTCTTTGTTGTTATCTACACTGAAAAAGAAAAGTTAAGCTAGTTCTTTTACTAACTTAGTATGTGACCTTGGATATGTCATTCTTCCTCTGTGAGTCTTATTTTCCTAATCTACAAAGTGAGGGGGCTGATCTAGAATATCTAAGATTCCTCTCAGTTCTGCCATTTCATGTTTTCAGGCCCCTCCCAGATCTGACATTCTGTATTCCAAGGGCCCTCCCAGCTCTGACTTTGTGTGCTCTAAGGCCCTTCCCAGGCTCTGACATCCTGTGTCCTTAAGGGCCCTCCCAGCTCTGACATTCTGTGTTCTAAGGGCCCTCCCAGCTCTGACACTCTGTGTTCTAAGGGCCCTCTCAGCTTTACTATCCTTCAACTTAGGGCAATTTTACTTAGCTGTTTCCAGGAAGCTGGTTAGATGTCATTACTTCCTGACTTAGGGCAGTATAACTTTGCTGCCTCTAATCTGGAGGTGGTTAAGGGTTGAACGAGGCAGATAGGTGGTTCAGTGGATAGAGCGCTGGAACTCACTGAGTTCGAATCTAGCCTCAATTTAGTTAACCTCTCTGCTTTAATCCACTCGAGAAGGACATGGCAAACCACTTTGCCAAGAAAATGCCATTGACCATATGGTACATGGGGTTACTAAGAGTACAGTGACTGTCAAAATATTTGGAGATACCTTGTTTACCAGAGCTAAGGCCTAGCAAGCAGGCTGTGCCCTGGGCTTGGCATAACAATAATCCTTAGTGCTCTGGATGATATCACCTTTACTCTGAAATTAATTAAGCTTCTGTTTGGATCCTGACTCTCCGGTCTTTAGCTCCGCTTCTTTAGCTCCAGCCACTCACGGATTTAAGGCCGTTGGGGTCAGCTGACAAGACTGAACAGCAGTAACAAAATGGGCTGAAGAACCAGGCACAGGTGAGGGGGTGGCCCCCTCCACCCTAAGGAGGAGCCGCTCCCGAGGAGGGGGTCGGGTCAAGGGTCTTGAGGTGCCTCGGGGGAGGGCTGGGAGCACATGGGAGGAGGCAGAAGTGGAGAAGAAGAGCGCATGGTGCGGGGCGGATCTGGAGCGCGGAAGTTTGTGCCGGGGCTGGGGGTGGAGTTTAGGAACAGCACAAAGGTCCCAGCTGTAAAGGGGCCAAAGGGCTGGGGGTTAGGGTCTCCGGGCACACTGGCGGAGGACGGAGGGAAGATGGGGAAATTGGGGGAGAGTCCACACTCACCCTCCGGGGCCCCGGGGAAGAGAGCAAAGCACTCAGTCGTGGAAAGGGGAGGAGAGTTCAAGGACAAGGTAACCTGAGCTCCAGGGGACATACAGACAGGAATGTGACTCCAAGGCCCCGCGGGGGGCAGCCCCAAGCCCCCTCCCGCCCTGCGCTCAGCCTTACCCGTGCAGTGGCCCCGGTGGCCGCGTCCCGGGCTCCTTCCCGCCCCCCTCCGCCCAGGCAGCCAGCCTTGGTCCCTCCTCCTTCTGCTCCTTCTCCTCCTCCTCTTCCTTCTCCCCTAGAGTCCCAGAACCGCTGCCGAGAGCCAGCCCACCCCGGGGCGGGCGGATGACGCCACCTCGGCGGGCCGCCGGCATGCACCGGCTTGTCCCGAGCTGCCTCGCCCAGCCACGGAAGGCAGAGGGATGCTCAAAAGATGCTCGGAGAGCAGAAGAGGACCAGCCCCCTCTGAGCCTCGGCTCCGGTTCGAGTCCGGCTTTGTCATCCAGCAACGTGTGATGCTGGACAGACAAAAAGGAAGTAGCCTCTTGAGCTTAGAGTCTGGGTGGGGAGACACCCCAGCATTTGGGAGGTCTGTGAAAGCAAACAAGGGATTTCAAGTGTGAGAGGAAGAAAAGACAACCCTAATGGAGTCCTTATAAACGCTCTGGGAAATCGCTCTTCATCCTTCAACTTCACAGGCAAGTATGGTCCCTAGGGTACTTCTGATTGGCTGGGTCTAATGCTATGCATTGGAGGATCCTAATATCAGTCTACGGTTAAGTGCCCCTAATATCCAACCAATGATAAGAGCTAGCGTTTACATAACTCTTGAAGGTTTGCAAAGCACTCCACAAGTATTATCTGATTTTATTCTCCCAACAATCCCGGGAGGTAGGTGTTATTATCACCTCCATTTTACACGTGATGAGGAAACAGGCAGAGCGAAAGGGATTTGCCCAAGGATTCAAAGCTAGGAAGAGTCTGAGGTCATATTTGAATTCGTCTTCTTGAATTCAGGTCTGTTGTTCCGTCCACTGCAACCATCGGATTAGTGCCTGAATAACAAATTACCTGCTGACGTGTCCTTAATATGAACTAACTGGTTATCAGTTAACAACAATTAGTTCTTACAGAGACCTGTAGCCCTCATAAATGATCTGAAGTTTACTCTCAACCCCAGTTCCGCTGGCAGATGGGTCCCCAGGTAATCCCTGATTGGCTGTGGGTGTGTTTCAGTGTTACGAGCTGGAAAAACCATCAGGTGTATTTCCCTAACATCCATGGCCACTTAATATATCTCCAATATCATCCAATCATTAAAAACTCAATATGAATTACCTGTTTATAGTTCCTCATGGGCCCCTACGTGGTGCAGTGCATAGAGCATGGGGCCTGGAGTCAGGAAGACCTGAGTTCAAATCCAGCCTCAGACACTTACTAGCTGTGTGATCCTGGTCAAGTCACTTCGTCTTGTTTGCCTCAGTTTCCTCATCTGTAAAATGAACTGGAGAATGAAATGACAAACCACTTTAGTATCTCTGCCAAGAAAATCCTAAAGGGGATAATGAAGAGCTAGACAACTGAACAACAAACATTTCCTCCACATCATTGATAATCAATTAACATCATTTAGCTTTTACAAAGAGATATTTCCTGAAAAGACTTGGCTAGAACCAAGTACAACCACCTGCTACATCCTGTTAACTTTCTTCCCTCTACAGACCACCTTAGTCCCTGAGGAGAATAGATTCAAATTTAAGGAGGGGACTAGAAAACTTTCCCCCCACTGAGTTCAATGAGGTACCTTCTGGCTAGTGTCTATGCCTCGAGTCTCCCCACTCCAGTCTCTCCCTCACTCAGCTACCAAAGTGATTTTCCTGATGAGCAAGTCTGACCATATCCCTTCCCCTACTCAATAAACTCCAATACTTCCATATTACTTCCAGGATCAAATATAAGAATCCTCAGTTTGGAATTTAAAGCAGAAAAAAAACCCCACCAAACAAACCTGGCCCCTTCCTACCTCCCTAATGTTACTCTTTGTTCTTCTCCATATCCTTTGCAGTCTAGCTTCATGGACCTCCATGCTGTTCTCTGGGGAAGATACTCCGTCTCCTGGCTCTGGGCATCTTCTTTCATGCCTGAACTACTCTTCCTTCTCACTTCTCTTACATCCCTGACTTCCTTCAAGACTCATCTCAAGCCTAGCTCAAATGTCACTTTCTGCAGGAGGCTTTTTCTGGCCCCTGCTCTTGTAGCCAGGAGGGCCTTCCCCTCTGAACTCCCTCATCTTCCTACTGCCCATCTCCCAGCCTCTTAACTTCTCCCTCCGGTATCACCTTTGTTTTAGTCTCTCACAAAGAGGACAGTGTCTTTTCTCCAAGGCCATCCAGGTCCCTACATGGATTCTGGACCTGATTGCCTCCTGTCTTCTCCAGTTGATAACTCGCTGTCATCCTCACTCTCCCTAACTTTCAATCTCTCACTATCTTGTTTTTTTTCCCCTTTCTGGCTACAAACTTACCCAAGCCTTTCTCACCTTGAAGACTAGATTCAGCCATCCCTGCTAGCTATAGTCTTCTATTTCTTCTCCCTGTCTCAGCCAAACTCCCTGAAAAAACTGTACACCTGGGCCTCCACTTCCTTCTCACTCTCTTCTAAACCTTCTGTAATCCTGCTTCTGACTTCATCACTAAACTGAAACTGTTCTTTCCAAAGTTACTAATGATCTCTGGATTGATAAATCAAATGGCATTTTCTCAATCATCTTTCTTGATCTCTTTGTATCATTTGACACTTTGTTTGTTGTTGTTGTATTTTTTTTTTTGGTGAGGCAGTTGGGGTTAAGTGACTTGCCCAGAGTCACACAGCTAGTGAATTTTATGCGTCTGAGGCCAGATTTGAACTCAGGTCCTCCTGACTCCAGGGCTGGTGCTCTATCCACTGTGCTACCTAGTTGCCCATTTGATACTTTTCCTCCCAGATAGTCTGCCCTTCCACTGCATCCTCAGGACTTCAGGCCTTGTCATTTGGTCTGTTATAGATTATTCCCTGTTAGAATGTAAGTTCCTTGAGGGAAGAATCATTTTTGTATCTGTATCTCTAGTGCTTGGCACACAGCATAGTGCTTAATAAATGTTTGTTCATTCATCCTTCCATCCGTCCTAAGATCCATCCCAGTTTTGACATTCTGTGTTCTAAAGCCTCTTCCAGCTCTGAAATTCTGTGTTCTCTGGTCTCTCCCAGCTGAGACATTATAGGTTAGAATTTCTTAACTTTTTTGAGTCATGGACCCTTTTAACAGTTGGTGAAGTTTATAGACCCCTTCTCAGACTAATGTTTTTAAATGCATAAAATAAAATGCAAAGGACTACAAAGGAAACCAAAAATGGTTATAAAAATATATTTTAAAAAATGTCACATGCCCTAGGTTAAGGATCCCTGTTAAGTTCTAAGAGCTCTCACAGGTCTGACATTCTATATTCTAAGGCCCTTTCCAGCTCTGATACACTGTATTTATTTTAAGGCCTCTCCCAGCCCTGAAATTCTATATTCTAAAGTACTTTTCAGCACTGACATTCTATATCCTAAGGCCTCACCCAAGTTTGACACTCTATATTCTAAGGTCCTTTCCAATTCTGACACTCTTTGTGTTAAGATGCCTCCCAAGTCTGACATCCTATATTCTAAGGCCCCTCTGAGTTCTGACAGTCTATGTTTCAAGGCTCCTTCTAGCTCTGACATTCTATGTTCTAATGCCCCCCCCAGTTCTGACATTCTATGTTCCAAGGTCCCTTCTAGCTCTAACATTTTATGTTCTAATGCCCCTTCCAGTTCTGACATTCTGTGTTCCAAGACTGTTTACAGCTCTAAAATTCTTCAATTCTATAATCTGGAAAGAGCAAGGCAGAGAAGAAATATAATTAAAGTCTGCAATTTCCAAGTTTATGGAGAAAGTGAACACAGAATTGTTCCCCACTTACTGAAACACTAGACTTAGCCTTTTCCACAGGTATCTTGAAAGGGGTAAACTTTAGAGAATAAATTTCTTTCTTCCTCAAGAGTTGGTCAATAAAGACTTAATAAGTGCCTGCTATGTGCCAGACACTATGTAAGTGCTCGAGATAGGGGAAAAAAAAAAGACAAAAGACTGTCCCTGCCCTCAAGGAGCTCACTGTCTGATGGGTTCTACCCATGATGGATTTAAGGAACTCAACTCAGTAGATGATATAGACTAAAACTATAAATGGGTTATTGGAAAGTTCCCACCACTGACATCCTTCTCCAAAACAAACTAGGTGGCACCAAGGATGGCACTGGTTTTGGAGTTAGGAAGACCCGAGTTCAAATCCAATCTCAGACACTTACTAGCTCTGTGACCATGGGCAAGTCACTTTGCCTCTCTCTGCCTCAGTTTCTTCACATAATAATACGAAAACAATAACAAAATAATAAATATGAAAATAAAATGTAAAATAATAAGTATGAAAAATGATAGAATAGAGAGTTAGGTGCCCAGTAGCCCAGATGACTGAGGAATGCTGGATTTCAAGTTAAAGGACTTGGACTGCAATCCTGCTTCTGCTCTTTAGAAGTGAGTAATCTCGGGTGAGTCACGTGACCTTTCTAGAATTCAGTTTCTTCATCTATAAAATGGGAGGAGGGGTTTGGATGAAGTGACCTCTCCAAGGTCTCTTTGCAGCACTGAATTCTGTGATCCCTTGAACTTGTGAAAAAACCATAACATTGAATAGTAATTGAGGTCTGGCTGTAGATGATTGCATGCATAGTGATTTTGGGGATTGTAGGAAGGCTTCTCTGTGGTCTCCCAATAATTTGTTTGCTGATGGCTGGAGCTTTGCTAGGAGAGAAGGCCATTCTCTGTAGTTTCGGGAATTGATCCCTGATTAAAGGCTGAGGGAGGTTAGGGCTTGAAGCAGGCCTTAGAGCAGACCGCACAACTTAGGGCACTGGCAGGCCCAAGGATTTCTGGCCAGCGGGGTTTGTGCTCTTCTGTTTGTCACGTGACCCTCGGCAACCAACCATCACCAGTCTGTCTCTAGTCTATCCTAGGGCTGCATTTTTAAATTAGCCTTTCTTAATCTTGGCCCCTACCTACTGCCAAGTGGTGCAGGTCTGTCTTAGAGTAATGGATGTCAGAACCCACCCTGGGGGGAGCGCGTAAGGACACTAGGAGAAGCTGGGGAACCTTTACCATCTTTGCTGTAGTAGTGGAGTAGAAACAGCAAAGTCCTGTTTTTCACCCAGAGCAGTGAGGCCCCATCCTTTCCCCATATGTTGATTAGG